TTTTTTTGAGGTTTTGGTTTGCTTTTCTTTTGTTAGGTTTTGTTTAGCTGGAGTTGTATTTAGTTCTGGTTAGTTTGGTGGTTTTCTGTCTGGTGTTTTGGTTTGTTTCTCCATGAATGTAACCATTTGTTCACTTTCTCGACCACCGGATCGCAAAAGGAAAGCGATCTATATCTGCCTTGTAGAGGAAGCCCGAGATATGAGCTGGGCCAAGAACCCTTTTTGCAATCAAACTTTCATGATATCGAATCCAACTCGTTCTCATCCAGATTTACCCCATAATCTTTGAKTTTTGGTGTTTGACATTGATTCCTCTGTAGCTTCTTCAAAGAGCCTGATAGTGTTGAACATGTTTGAGAGGGAGGGATCATCGAAGGGGGAGAAGAGAACAGTGTCATCTGCAAATTGYAGATGGTGGACTTCCAAAGTGTTGTTTCCTAGGTCGAAACCTTTGATGAGATTTGTGCTAGCTGCTCGAGTCATCAATCTACTAAACACATCAGCCACCAAAATGAAAAGAAAGGGTCACTTTGACAGAAAACAAAATATGAGTTTGGACCTTTTCACTTTATTGTTGAAAAGTATTATTTCGTATAAAAAGAAAAATACTAGCTGATTAGGTAGCTTTGATTTTATATTTCAATATTTAATTCTTCATGGTAAATATGTTATCTTCCACCGTGGGTTGGAGTAGATTGCCTATATAAAAGATTCTCGGATTACTGTGTAATAAAAACAGCTGTTTCCTTTTCATTGGATCCTTAGCTCCTTTGGAACACCATCCCAGACTGTCAACTGAACGTCCATCCAATATGATTGAGACCACCTCAAAAACAATTGAAACTTCTGTTATCCTAGCTTAGGGGACTCCATTCATTATGGAAAACCATATACAACAGATTAGTACACACTAACTTAATGAGCTGGACTATGAAAGGGAAATTAAATGAGTTCAAAACTTTTTACTCTCTAGGACAAGGAGGTTACGGACTAAGGCTAATCCGGTTCAGATGACACCATGCTATTTGTTCAGAAATGAAAGAAATGCTTAATGGTCTGATTACTGGAATATCTTTGAATTACCTGTGGGTCTAAAGATATCTATACTAACCTAGATTGTTGACATTGATGGTTTTTCTAAACAATAAACAGAATTTACATTGATAGATGAGAAGAAAGAAAATTGTTCAAGACTAAACAACCCAAAAACAGACAAAAATCTAAATATTGCCTTAAGCTGCAAAAATTGCACAAACTACTGCCTAAAAGTAAAGCACATCTAGAAGCCTTCAAAGGGAGTAAAAAATCAAATGTGCAAATTCGGGATTGTTCCTTGGTTTTAATAATCAAATCGAGAAAGTTATGTAAACTTTTCTTCCAAAGGGTAATGATGAAGGCATATTTGAGCAATGGGGGTATGAAATCAAGTAACCTGGATGGATTTTAAAGGTTGATATTGAAAAAACTTTTGATTGTGTAGATTGGGATTTCCTTGAAGAAGTCATGAAATTTGAGGGTTGGATGAAAATGGCTAAAATGGATAAACACTGAAATTGGTTTGAGTTGAGATGTCTTCATATTCCCAGTTTAGCTTTTTCTCTTTTTTTTTTTCACTCTTTTTTGGGTTTGTATCTTTTAACTTTTTTTTTTCTTTCATTGAATTAGATTTTGTTTCTTGTTCAAAAAAATGAAGTAATTGGGCTTTTTTAGCAGGGGTTGGAGGTTTTGCCTTGATACTTCTTCTCTTTGGTGTCGTCGGGTTTTTAACATTTATGGTTTTGGAATCTTTTGGTTTTTGTTCATTATGTAATTCGGTTGGTTATGAAAGAACAATTTAGCATTAGCCGTAATTTTGTAATTGTTTGATGAAGTTGTATTTTCTGATTTAAGAATKATGTTTATTGATCTGGGTAAGCTTAAGAGGAAAACAAATAGTTCAACTGCCGGCAGAGTTGGTTGGGGAGGTGCAACATGTCTTGGCTGTTTATGATGCTGCACGATCAAATAACAAGGTTACCTCTGTCTTATGCTATTTGCACACTTGATTGTGCTCTGTTGATCATCTTTATCACTCAACTTTGTAACTGTATTTGGGGTTAGGTTGTGGAGGATGCTGGTGCCCTCATATTAAGATGTGATTCTGATGATTCAAGGAAAACTTGGCAGAACCGCTTGCAAGGGGCCATATATCGTGCATCTGTATGTGATTATTTGTTGCAGTGTGTCATGATTTGTGTTCATCCTTCATTTGGGTTTAGATGAGACGCAGATTAGACACTTATAATTTGTGCTATCTGGATTAGTTTTTTTCCTTTTATTTTATACCAACAGGGCTCCATTCACATTATTCTCTTTATCATTGTATGTACTGTTAGATGCTTATAATTCACACACTATGATTTTTCATTTCACCAATGAAAATTTATTTCTGTTAAAAAAGTCATTTTTCTAATTAAAATTATCGTTTGTGATTTAATAAGAAAACCTATAATGAGGCAAGGCAAGACAATCCAATTTACTGTGATTTAATAATCCTGGTGGTGTGAATTTTATATTGATATGCCGACAGGACTGTATATATAAATATATTTAATTTTTAGAAGCTGCAATGTATATTCACATAGATAAAATTTTTAAATATTTTATGYCCACCATACTAATTAGATGGTTAAACTTGCTGTTCTCTCTTTTTTATTTTTTATTATTTTTCTTTATAACGGGGAGGTGGTGCTTTGCTCTCCTATACCCTGGGGCACCCGCACCTGCCCTAGGGCCTGGACGTTAAACTTGCTGATCTGTAACGTGATTATTAGTTTCCTATGCTAATCTTTTTTCTATTAGTGATGTAGTTATCTTTCTGTTAGTAAAGGATCATACTATCATAGTAACTGTACTCTGCAATCTTGTAAACAATACTTTTCATTGGTAAAATGAAAAAAGTAYAGAAAGAACGTAAAAACCCCCCTTGATTTAAGAAAACCAACCCAACAAAGCCCTCAAAAGAGATAAAGAAAACCTCAGCACCAATACAAATAAATAAAGTGCAGTATTCTAGTCATACTGGTATAAAATTCAGAATCAAATTAGTTCTGTTACATCAGGAATTGGTATAAGGGCAAAAGGTGAGACTTTGAAATCAACGATGGCATATCTCTTGCTGAAGGAAGAGATAGTGAAGCTGTAATTGAATAGCTTCTGCAACCAAACGCATTGATGGGAGGGTTATTGGCAGGAGTTCATACACGATAGACAGATGATTTTGTTCTTCGAGAGTTTGTCATGTTCATTTGAAAAATGTTAACTATTGTAACTTAGCTGTTGAGAAAATTAAAGTGATAAAAAATAATGAGAAAGAAGTAATAAAATTTTCAATGTTTGATAAACAATTGGGAAATATGAAATGTGAGAGATTAAATTCAATAGATGAAGAAATCAACTCCAAATTGAAATGATACAAAATTGATGATAAACAAATGAATATTATAAATCTTGGTGATACAAACTTCTCATGGAAGGATCAATTTAGAACATCAGTGTGATTGTTCATTTTTCTCTTTTTATTTGGGTCCCAAACATGTTGAAGGATCTGTTTTTGTGTTTCTACAGGGCATAGGCTATATTATTTGCTAAAATGCTATGGGATTTGGTTTATTCCTTTAATACTATTCTATTGCTGTCACGTTCCTTTTTCCTGAATTTATAATGAAGTTTTTCAATCACGTACCTGGATATTTAAATACGCAGGCCTCTGCTCCTATTTCGGGTCTATCTGAAACTTCATCTAACTCCGAGGACTCAGAAATGGAACCAGATGATAGTGAAGATATGGATTCATCTATGGAGAGGGTATTTATGACTGGTTCTCTTGATGAACTTAGCGTCCGTTTCAGTTCTAGTAATCAGGTATTTTTGAAACATTCTTGTTTTTATAWCCTCCCTCACTATTCGCTTGAAAAATGATTAATTTCTATTGCTTTATCAGCATGGCCAGAACTTTGAGAGGGTCCTTCTTGCAGAAGAAAGGTGTTTRATGGAATTCCGGGCAATCGGTGGTCATGTATAGAATGTTAATTGACAGTTCTTTTACTTGTATTCTATTATATATTTTTCAAATTCACTTCTGAAGGTTACCTTTTTGCAAATAGGTTGAGTTGTCAATTAGGTCAAATGACATGTTTATCGGCACTATCCTCAAGTCATTGGAGATTGAAGACTTAATTTGTTCGAAGACCAATTCTCAATCTTGTTATCTGGCGAGATCATTTGTTCATGGAGAAGAGGCACCTTCATWTGCTAACTTTTCAAAGAATCAAGGTCTTGATACCAATGATTCAACTCTAAGCGAAGGGGATGACAATTTCTTTGAGGCAGCTGAAACCTTGGTTGACTATGCTGATTATCAAATACAATCACCAGGAGAGAGTCTTGAGTATGTAAAATCTCAAAGTTCGCTCCAACTGAGAGATTTTGCATCCCCCAGCTTCTCACGTGTTGCTGGTCTGCTTCCTCCTGGTGGCTCTGAAACTCATAATGTGGATAGTGAACAATCAGTTACATTAGATAATTTTGTAAAAGCTCAGATAGTTCTTTATGACCAAAATTCTTCTCGATACTCTAACGTTGACAAACAGGTGTGCCTCATCTCTATTGCTTAATGGCCAGTACCTAATAGTATTATGATACTAAAATTTTGAATAACTGTCCTAGGTTACTGTTACCCTGGCTACATTGTCATTTTTCTGTCGTAGACCTACAGTTTTAGCCCTTGTTGAGTTTGCCAATGCCGTTAACCTTGAGGAAGAAAGTTGTGAATCATTCAGTGATGATTCATCGTCAGGCATCGTAGGGCATAATAACCCGATAGGAGAAGATGAACAGATTTCAAACACCACGAAGGATGGCATTGTGAAAGGTTTGCTAGGAAAAGGGAAATCTAGAACTATATTCAATTTAGCGTTGAAGATGTCTCGTGCACAAATTTTTCTAGTGAAGGAAGACGAGACTGTTCTATCTTGTCTGTCTCAAGACAACTTGCTTGCTGATATCAAGGTTCTGCGTGGAAGTCTCATCCTTACTCCATAAGACGTACTGATTGTTAATGTTGAAATGTTCTTGAATTTTATCTCTCTCTTTCAGGTGTTTCCGTCCTCTTTCAGTATAGAGGCTGCTCTTGGAAATCTGAGAATCAGTGATGATAGTCTTCCAAATGGCCACATGTATTACTGGGCATGTGATATGAGAAATCCTGGTGGCAGTTCCTTTGTTGAGGTTTTTTCTTCTCTCTGTCATGCACATGTATATTATGTACATGTATATTATGTACCGAGTAATAATTACCTTTTCTATGCTATTGCGTTTTTTTTAGAAGAGAGAGAATCGACAGTAGCAAACTTGCATGTCTTCATATTTATGTGTGAATGWTTATGATCACATGGCAAGTTCTAACCTTCAAGTGCTTTGATATAAAAAACTTTTAATGTCTCGGGCTTTCGGGCAGGCGTGGGTGCTCTAGGTATAGGGACTACCAGTTATATAAAAAAATAAAATAAAATAAAAAAATTAATGATCGCATAGCTTTGAGATTACATGCAAGCAGGACAGACATGGATACTGTCAAATAGTTTGTAAAGAAGATGAATAAAAACTTCAAACSTCCTAACATGTATTCTCAATATGAAGTAAATTAATGGATATTGAAAAGAATAGATGAAAACCACGAGTGGCAGTGTATAATACTTTGGAGCTTCTGTTATTTTATATTTATGTTTGGAATATAAAAGGAACTATATTACTTAATAAAGTGTATGAGTTGCAGAACAATAAAGCAATCTAAATAACAATTTAGAACTTTTAGTCTCCAACTCCCAAAACGAGTTGAAAAAGGRACATTCAACTTCACATTCACAAAAACATCCTCTTTTAGTACGAACGTCTCCTTGATTAATAAAAAGAAAAAAAGTTGTTAAAACTTCAATGGGGAGAGAAAATAAAACAAAATAAAGACGAGGGAAAGTAAGAACCCAGTGAAATACAATACAACCCAATTGAACAAGAAAGAAGCTACGAATAAAACTTACAATTTTCGAGCCTCAAACTTTCAGAACAAGTCTCCCACTTGTAAGAAACCAACTTCAAAGACTTTAAAATCTTGAACATCAGAATCATCGTCAAAATCATCTTCATTTTCAGGAAACAGGGCTTTGAATTTCTGAGAGGGGTTGGGTGAATCCTTGTTGAGATTTTTGGGGGAGGAGGATTGGTAATCCATTGGTCTAAAGTGTTGAAACAAAATACCARGATTCTTSAAAATAAACACAAAGGAGTGACCTTTAAAAATCCAAGGTCATCCCCCTTCCTTAARGAGAAGCAGCAAGGGTAACTATTAGTTGAACAATCCCGTTAAGAGAACAACTCATGTCTAGTATGATTATTGTACTAACAAGTGTCCTACGCGTATTAATCATGTGTTGGAGTGTCAACACATGTTAGACACGAACATGTCACCAAAACTAAAGTGTTCACGCATCGTAGGTTCTTTATTTCTTTTCATATAACATGTCAAAGAATGAGATTAATCCACATCCCATAATTGAAACATCAATCAAGCTAACTCGGGGGAAAATGATATCTAAAATGTAATTTCTTCATAATCAAACGGATTTTTTGAGTCAACCTGCTCAATTGTTTAAGGTACATATTATCGGCTCAGAGGTTTGAATCCGTGCCGAACTAAAAAAAAAAGGATTTTTTTGATAGGGGGTTATCTTTTTTTTTTTTTTTTTTATATAAGAAACTTGAACTTTTCATTGAGACTAGTGAAAACAAATACACGGGCATACAAAGGAGCCTGGCCTAAAGAAAGGGCTCCCAATCTAAAAGAATAGAACCTATCTGATAATTAAAAAAAGCTTAGAAACAGAGCCCCACAGAGAAACATTAAATCTAATAAGATCCCAAACAGACTTGAATTAACAATCCACTATGTTCTGTGGGAACCACTTTAATTAGAATACATCATCTATGTTACTTATGTCACTTATTTGATACCTCCCAATTTAGAGAGGAAATGTAAATGACCTACACAAATAAAGTGAAGGAGATTTGTTACGTGGTTAAAGTAACTCAACTATAGAAATACTTATATTGCACCATTTAATTTTATGCTTTAATTTGGTGTTTATCCTTTTGAAGTTTGCTATATATTGCAGCTATCTTTCTCTTCATTCAATGTCGATGATGGAGATTATAATGGTTATGAATATTGTCTTTTGGGGAAGCTTTCAGAAGTACGAATTGTTTATTTGAATCGATTTATCCRGGAGGTAATCTTTATACTGATTGTTATCCTGTCATGTTTTACGTGATACTATGTTTCATGTTWTCTAAATTAATTTGTAGGTTGTTAGTTACTTTGTGGGTCTCGTCCCTGAAAATGCAGAGGGTGTTGTCAAGTTAAAAGATCAAGTAACAAATTCAGAGAAGTGGTTTACGACCACTGAGATAGAAGGCTTACCTGCTTTGAAGTTGGATCTTTCTCTTTCAAAGCCTATAATACTGATGCCACGAAGGACAGACAGTCTTGAGTGAGTTTTTAAAAGATGTTGTTATCTTTTGTATGTTTTCACATGACAAACATATTTATTAGTGACACTATCTTTCCCTTTGTAATAATTATTTACATGTTTTAGTTTTCCTTTGACAGTTATTTGAAGCTTGACATTGTCCATATTACCATCCGAAACACTTTTCAGTGGACTTGTGGCAGTAAAACAGACATGAGTGCAGTGCATTTGGAAATCTTGACTGTTCTGGTGAGATCCATCATTGGGATGTCTTAAATGTTAAACGTATTTGGTTGAGAAAAAAATATTGGTTAGCGTGATATTTCAGTGTTAAATGGCTTTAGAACTAATTTTGGCATGGCTAAAAGCTTCTTCTATAATGAATTACAGTCTTTACATATGGCATAGAATTTGTTTCTGGAAATTAGGTTTTTCAATGTAATTTCCTGACTGCTATATGATATTTAGGTTGATGACATCAATTTAAATGTTGCCATGGGCACGGAATTAGGGGAAAGCATAATTGAAGATGTAAAGGGGGTTTCAGTAGTCATTCGCAGGTCACTTCGAGACTTGTTGCACCAAATACCAAGTTTTGAAGTTGCAATTCAGGTAGTCATACCAACTATTCCACCTGCCATGAAACTATTGTGCAATTGAAAGTCAAGATGTAATYAAATTGTGCTTTTATTTTTTGTCATTATACCAGATGGAAGTGTTGAAAGCAGTTCTTTCAAACAAAGAGTATCAGCTTATTACTGAATGTGCAATGTCTAATATCTCTGAGACAGCAAATGTGGTGCCTCCAATAAAAAATATTTCTGCCTCTTCAACGGATATAATAGAACATGCTACTCAACAAGATTTAGATGAGATTGAATCTGAAACAAGTGTACCATCATTTGTGTCCATGAAACTCTCTGTTATTATTGACCTGGTGGAGCTGTGCTTACGTGCAGGAGTATCTGGAGATGCATCTTTAGCCACTGTGCAGGTGTTGTATTACCTGCTGAATTTTCCCTTAAACAGCTACTTTTCAATATTCATAATCCTTGTAATGAAAGACTATTATCTTGTCTTGCTCTTTTCTGTTTGGTGTTGTTTTTTTATAATTTAATTTCTTCAATAACATTAAAGTAACTATCTAATGAATTTTTTTCTTTCACCAAAAAAAAAAGACACTATCTAATCATAAGTTGTCACCAACTGGAGCCCAATAATTGGCATCTTGATCTTGAATTCTTGATACTGCGATGGTGTTGTATTTCCTTTGTCACTTGTATCTTGTTTAAGTCATTGAATTTTCAGTTTGTCCTTCAATGACACAAACGCAGATTCTATATTTCATTTCTTGGATGGTAATTTTCTCTGTGTGCCTTGTCTTTAACTTATATTATGCAGGCTAACAATGCATGGCTATTGTACAACTCCAACACAAATGGTGAAGGATTTCTTTCAGCAACACTCAAGGGTTTCACTGTTCTTGATGAACGTGAAGGAACTGAACTGGAATTCAGGCGGGCAATTGGTATTGCTAACAGCATTGGCCCAGCTCAGTTTCACATACAGACTAATGAACACAATCAGCTGCCAAGTGACGCAAATACTATAGAAGACAAAAATTCTGAAGCAGTTCCTACAATGCTTATTCTTGATGCAAAATTCAGTCAGTTCAAAACATTTGTTTCATTATYAGTTCAAAAACCTCAACTGCTTGTCGCACTTGATTTTCTCCTGGCTGTTGTTGAATTTTTCGTTCCAACTGTTGGCAATATATTGTCAGATGAAGAAGATAAGAGTTATTTACATGTTACCGATGCTGTTATTTTGGATCAGTCACCTTACAGGCAGCCATCATCTGAACTGCATATATCTCCTGGAAAACCTTTAGTAGCAGATACTGAAAATTTCGACCATTTCATCTATGATGGCGATGGTGGAGTATTGCACTTAAAAGATAGATATGGAGTTGATCTCTCAGCACCTAGCAAGGAGGCAATGATATATGTTGGAAGTGGGAAGAAATTGCAGTTCAAAAACATCATTATCAAAGTATTGTTCTTTGCCCAACCTTTTTCTGTCAATCACCATTATTTGCATTAAATATTTCCAAGTAACTTCACCAACGCTTTTGACCATTGTAGGGTGGACGGTATTTGGATTCTTGTGTTTTTATGGGTACCAACAGCAGTTATTCAGCATCTAAGGTGGACGGCGTTTACTTGGAGTTGGGGGATAATATACTCCAACTGAGCTCTCAAGATGTACAATCTCAAGATATTACCGGGAACAAGTCTACCGAGTATATTATTGAATTGCAGGTTGAGTATTAACCTTTCATAATTAATTCTTACCATGTGCTGCTTATGTAATTGTTTCTATTAAAAAAAAAATAGTGGATTTCATAACAACCTAGAGAACATAATCTCATGACATGGGCCAGAGAACACTATACAGTTACTACATTCGATCCAACTTAATATTGCTAGTCACTATCATCTAAAACTGAAATCTGGAATACAATAGGTGTTTGAGCCATCCTCCTTGGTAACGGAGTTTAGTCTCGTCTAACCTATATCTAAGGGGTCCTGCTTAAAATAAATTTACCTAACAAAAGGTTAGGGATATGTAGRATAAGTACTGATTGTTGCAACCTAAACCCTCTGGCAAACAAAGGAGAATAAGATGCATCAAGTAGAGAGATTTGGTCATGGTGTCTTATCCAACATTTCCAGTTGGCACATACAAGAAGCTGAAACACAAAGAAGTGGATTTCCCTGATCCTAAAGATAATCAATGATAATGCATATTCTGTGAATTTCTCCRAAGATCATAAAATAAGTTCTATGTTATATGTTGCTGATCTTTTCAAATATTTCCCAGTGTATTATTGTTAAGACCAACTTTTCTATCTTGTAGACTTTTCATTTGCAGGAATTATTTCCACACGGTTACAAAGCACCTATGCTTTTCATTGAATAGTTGTTTTAATATGTTTTCTTCCGTGCCTATGGCTTCTTTTTGGCCTCTTTTAATGTAAGTGCTTCATGTAGGCAATTGGCCCTGAGCTGATCTTCTATAATACGTCAAGGGAAGTGGAGGAATCAACAATACTCCAGAACCAACTTTTGCATGCACAACTGGATGTATATTGCCGGTAAAATTTGCTTATTTTCATTCTATTGGAAATTTTGTTTGGCTGAAAGAATTAAGAAGTATACCGACATGCATCCACTCAAAGGAAAATATAGTGAGAACTCATGTACTATGCATATCTTTTCCAAATTCCATTCAGAAATGTGTATTTTTCATTACTATGGATTATTTAATATTTCCCACTTTAATAATGTTTACATGCTTATTGTGTCCTTAGGGTTCTTCTTAAGGGTGATACGATAGAATTTAGTGCAAATGCACTTGGTTTGACYATGGAGACTAATGGAATGAGGATTCTGGAGCCCTTCAATACTTCAGTAAATTATTCAAATGCTTCTGGAAAGACAAATATACATTTATCTGTTTCGGATATATTTATGAACTTTTCRTTCAGTATCTTGAGACTATTTTTAGCTGTTGAAGAGGACATCATGGCATTTCTAAGAATGACATCTAAGAAAATGACAGTGGTATGCTCCCAATTTGACAAAGTTGGGACAATTAAAAGTATGTCACTACACTCTTTCTTTAACTCGATGCTGGTAGATGTCAAGATATCAAAATTTGAATCCTGCTACCACTCACGATTTTGCAGGTCCAAACAGTGACCAAGTGTATTCTTTCTGGAGGCCTGATGCTCCACCAGGTTTTGCAGTTTTGGGTGACTATGTGACACCATCGTTAGTAATCTCTTTTGCATAGTGTTTTCTTGATATTATCTATTCAGTCCGGTGTTCTTATTGATATGAGTAATCTTGATATGACAGTGAAAAGCCACCAACCAAAGGAGTTTTGGCAGTAAATACAAGTTATGCAAGAGTAAAGCGACCTATATCTTTCAGACTAATCTGGCCACCTATAGGATCTGGAGACATTTCTAATTATCACGTGAACAATTTTGATTCTTCACCTGGTGGTGATAGTCTTGGTCAAGAGGACTGCTTTTATTCCATTTGGTTTCCTGAAGCACCCAAAGGATATGTTGCGCTCGGCTGTGTTGTCTCCAATGGAATAGTGGAACCGCCATTGTCTGCTGTTTTCTGTATTGCCACTTCCTTAGTTTCTACTTGTTCCTTGAGGGACTGCATAAGTATCAGCACCAGTGTACCGTATGTCGAATATCAAACTAATGAATCTCCCGCATGTTCATTTCGTATAGCTTGTAAATGTTGTGGATATTTCATTTTTGTTCACACTTATATATTGATTGTTATATTGGTTAACACGGAGCTGTATTCTAGACATGGTTCTTTAACATATCAACTGCACTTGCAATCCAAAAACACATTTAAACAATTCATTGAATTATTGATATCTAATCTTGATTGAACATTAAGCATTTACTTTGGTATAATTAATTTTGATACAATATTGTCTATTATAAGTTGCAGATGTCATTCAAGTTTTGCTTTATGGCGAGTGGACAATGCTGCTGGCTCTTTCTTGCCAGCAGATCCAATAAATTTTCACGTGAGAGGTACTGCATATGAATTGCGTCGTACGATATTTGGGTTTCCAGAAGTGTATCATGAAAAGCCCAAGCGTTCAGATAGTCATGCTTCATCAAGTCAAACTGAGACTTCGCATTTGGAGAGGCCACCTATTGTAACTTCTGGTCAGCATTTTGAGGCTGTTGCTAACTTCCAACTGATATGGTGGAATCGTGGATCAAATTCCAAGAAGAAACTATCAATATGGCGTCCAGTTGTTCCTCCGGAGAAGATATATTTTGGTGATATTGTTGTTAAAGGGTACRAGTTTCTCATTTTCTATTTCTGGTCAGTTTGTTAAAGTTTAAGTCCATGGTTAACTCTTGGTTGTTMTCTGAACTTAGATTTGAGCCTCCAAACACATCTATCGTTCTTCATAACACTAGAGACGAGGAGTTGTTTAAAGCCCCTCTGGGTTTCCAACTTGTGGGACAAATCAAGAAGCAAAGAGGAATGGAGAATATATCGTTCTGGTTGCCTCAAGCTCCTCCAGGGTTTGTTTCCTTGGGTTGTATTGCATGCAAAGGGACGCCTAAGCAACAAGACTTCAGTGCACTAGGATGCATGCGGATCGATATGGTAACAGGGGATCAGTTCTTGGAGGAAAGTGCCTGGGATTCTTCAGATGCCAGGCTAATAACAGAGCCTTTCAGCATATGGATGGTTGGTAATGAGTTGGGGACGTTCATTGTGCGGAGTGGGTTTAAAAGGCCTCCAAGGAGATTTGCTCTTAAGCTGGCTGATTCATTTGTCACAAGTGGTTCAGATAACACCGTAATTGATGCTGAAGTGAGAACGCTCTCTATAGCAGTTTTTGATGACTATGCTGGTTTGGTAAGTAAATTACTCCAGTTAGAATTGATTTTAGTTTTATGAAATGACAAGGAAAATACTTATTTTAGCACCTGGTAAATGAGCTTGAAGTAAAAGGGCTATTTATGACAGTTTTTTGCTTTAATTTTGTTTTCTTACGAAATGGTGAGAGTTTTATATTTAACAATACATCACTTAGAAGACTACACCATTTGTTATGTCTTATAGAGCTTCTCGAAGTTTTATATTGGTTCTTTAGTGTGATATATCAAGACAAAGAGTAGAGAACAGGATTTAACTGAAATTTAATTTTCTAAGTATATTTTGTATTGAATAGAAAACGATTTCTCCAGTGAATAATGTATCAGATAAGTGATTGAGAAATCAAGTTATTAGCATGCTGGAAATTAAATTAGTAGATCGAAATAAACTGGAACTAAAATAGAACATGTTGAATTAAAAGATAAACARCATRAGTAAAAACTAAGGATRGAGACAGCATAAGTAAAAACTAAGGATAAAGACACCAAAGAGACATACACGAGAAAGAGAGAAGAAATAAATTCTCAAATCGATTTATMAAAAATGAGGAATAGAGGCACTATATATAGGTTACAAGAGGAAACAAAATCTAGGAATAACCTCCTAACTTCCCTAACAAAAAAGTAGATTTATTTGCTAAATTTAAACACAAAATCTAAACAACTTTAAAACAACTTCTAACTAAGTCCACATAATCTAAACTTCTAACTAATTCAATACTCCCCCTCAAGCTGGACTATACAGATGGAACCGTTTTAGCTTGATCAACAATCTTTCAAACACGTGCCTCAAGAGTTCTTTTGTTAGGATATCTACAGCTTGATCTGATGATGAAACATACATCARATTTGTAATTTTCTCTTCAATCTTCTCCTTGATAAAATGYCTGTCAACCTCAACATGCTTAGTACGATCATGACGCCCTGGATTGTGTGCAATAGCAATTGCAGCCTTGTTGTCACAATAGAATTCYATTGAACTATCAAACCTGATCTTGAGTTTTTGGAGAAGGAGTTTCAGCCACATTATCTCACAAATAACATGAGATAATGCCCTAAATTCAGCCTCAGGACTACTTCTTGCAACAACTGATTGTTTCTTACTCCTCCATGTAACAAGATTACCCCATACGGAGGTACAATATCCTGTCGTAGATCTCCTATCTTGAACAGAACCTGCCTAATCAGCATCTGTAAACACCTTAATCTTTMTGTCATCATCCTTTCCGAAAAATAATCAAAGTCCTGGAGTTCCTTTAAGATATCTAAGAATATGATACACGGCTTCCATGTGTTCTTCAGTAGGAGCATGCATGTATTGACTTACAACACTCACTGCAAATGCAATATCCGGCCTAGTGTGGGATAAAAATAGATTAATCTTCCAATAAGACGTTGATATCTCCCTTTATCAACCGGTACCCCGTCTAGGCTCTCTCCCAACTTATGATTGGGACTTATTGGAGTATTAGATGGTTTACATCCAAGCATTCCGGTTTCCTTCAAGAGGTCTAGTACATATTTTCTATGACATACAGATATACTAGTTATGCTCCTTGCAACCTCCATCCCTAGAAAATACGGAAGTGCTCCCAAGTCCTTTATTTCGAACTCCTTTCCAAGTGCCCGTTTTAGTCTCTCTATTTCTTCATGATGGTCACCTGTSACGATAATATCATCTACAATGAGGATGGTGATCTTACGTTGAGAGTGCCTATAGAACATTGTATGGTCAGTTTGAGCTTGGGTATACCCTTGTTTAAAAACAGCCTTTGAAAATCGCTCGAACCATGCACGTGGGGATTGTTTTAAACCATAGAGAGATTTCTTCAACTTACACACCTTCCCATCATACTTATCAATGTCAAATCCAAAGGGAAGGTCCATGTACACCTCTTCTTCCAAATCTCCATTGCGGAATGCATTCTTGACATCTAGTTGTTATCTAGTTGTTGTAGTTTCCAATCTAGATTTGCAGCAAGGGACAAGACGACACGAATTGTGTTTAATTTTGCAACGGGTGCAAATGTCTCCTGATAGTCTACCCCAAAAGTCAAGAGTATCCTTTGRCCACCAATCTTGCTTTATACCTTTCAATGGACCCATCAGTCTTCTATTTGATAGTAAAGATCCATCGGCATCCTACCGTTGGTTTATCTTGAGGACGATCAACTACTGTCCACGTATCATTAAGCTTCAAAGCTTTCATTTTATCATCTACCGCATTTTTCCACTGTGGATTGCTCATAGCCTCTTGAATGGATTTTGGTACCTCATAGGCTTCCAGATTGAGAGCCAATGTCTGAACTGCTGAAGATAAATGACTATAACCAACCCATCGAGCAATTGGATGYTGAGTACACGATCTCACACCCTTCCTAAGTGCAATAGGGAGATCAAGATCATTAGTATTGTCTTGAGGCACAAGGGTAGATTGTTCAGTACCTAAGGACGAGRTGGATTCATTACTTTGCTGTTGCGGCTATGGTGGCTCCACTCCTCTTTGAACCGTTTGTCGCCGAGAATAAGCAAGAGTCTCAGGTTGCTTGTCACTTCAATTTGAGTTGGYTTGATCATCTTCATTATTACAGGAAATAATAGGAACTGACTCTTCTATCTGAGTAATTGGGACGATTGGGATAGGTATTTTTGGCTGAGGTGACTCGGTATTTAAACCATCAATCTCATGTATTTTTTCCTGTGGGGACTCAATTTTGGTATTTAGATCGTCAATCTCCCAAAAATTTCCATCAAGATTAATTATAATAGGCTTAGTCTCCCTCTTAGGGGAATTTAGGGAGAAAAAAGATTGAGACTCAAAAAATATGACATCCATGATAGTGTAAAATTTATTGGTGATTGGACAATAGCATTTATAGCCTTTTTGTGTAGGAGAGTAACCAAGGAAGACACACTTTCTGGCTTTTGGCTCCAATTTGTGACGTTCATGATCATAAACATGAGTAAATGCAGTACATCCAAATATTTTGAAGGGGATTGTGAGGACAGATCAGATTTGAGGATAGATAGTGAGTAAGATTTCTAGCGAAGTGTTAAATTTCATAACACAAGAGGGCATCTGATTAATGAGATAACAAGCAGTAAGGACAGCATCACCCCAAAAACAGTTAGGAACATAATTGGTGAACATGAGAAAACGGGCAGTTTTTAAAAGATGTCTATTTTTCCTTTCAGCTATACCATTTTGTTGGGGGGTAATGACATAGCAACTTTGGTGAATGATTCCATTTTGAGACAGGAAAGTACCCAATGTTTGATTAAAATATTTTGTCCCCTTATCTGTGCAAAGAATTTTAATTCTCGTATTAAATTGATTATGAATGAGAGAATGAAATTGTTGAAAGATTGATGCAGTTTCTAATTTTTCTTTAAGTAAATAGACCCAACAAACCCTAGTGTGGTCATCAATGAAGGTAAGGAACCAACGTTTACCGGACATAGTTTTGATGCGAGACGGCCCCCATAAATCACTATGAATGATTGTGAATGGATTGGGAGTTGACACACCTCGCAATTAAAAAGGTCATCTTTATGAGAAAGTGAAGGATAAAAATGTTTAAGATACTGAAAGCTCGGGTGCCCTAAACGGCGATGTAAAATTAGAATTTGTTGTTCTCTAGAATTTAACTCACCACCAACCTGGAGAACTTGTTTATTTCTTAGACTTGGTTCTCTAAAGTAGTAGAGCCCTTCAAAGCCATCAGCACTGCCAATCGTCGTTCCCGTTATCAAGTCCTGAAACAAACACTTAGAGTTAGTGAACAGGGCCTGACACTTTAAATCATGAGTCAACTTCTGAACAGAAATTAGATTGCAACATAATTTAGGCACATGGAGCACTKAGTGCAATGTAATGTTCGGGCTAAGAATAACAGAACCGAAGCCCTTAATAATGGTCGATGACCCATCTGCAAGCTTGACATGTGTTTGAATCGGGTTGGGTGATCACATGGTAAACATATCATGAAAAGCGGTCATATGATCCGTTGCACCCGAATCTAAGATCCACTGATCGAAATGCTGCTGACTTGTTAAAGCTGCACTAAAAATACCTCGTTGTGTCATGAAACTTGACGAAGGAGTAGACTCAACCGGCGGTGTTAAGAGACAATAGAGCTGTTCAAGTTGTGCCTTCGAAAATGGAGGGAGTGGTGGCCAAATCTTGGGAGTTTGACACACTAGGGCCTACTTGATAGCCGGAGGAGCTGGTTCGAGAAGATGGAGTATTTGTAGGTGGAGGTGGCCGATAATCCCCTGATAAATTCTTCCGTTGAGGACGACCATGGAATTCCCAACACCAATCTTTTTTATGGTTTGTGCGCTTACAATGATCACACCATAGGTTGTTCCGACGAGTAGATCGGGATGAAGTTGGTGGTGGACCTCGTGCCGCCAGAGCTGATGATTCCAGTGAGANGAGCTGGTTCGAGAAGATGGAGTATTTGTAGGTGGAGGTGGCCGATAATCCCCTGATAAATTCTTCCGTTGAGGACGACCATGGAATTCCTAACACCGATCTTTTGTATGGTTTGTGCGCTTACAATGATCACACCATAGGTTGTTCCGACGAGTAGATCGAGATGAAGGTGGTGGTGGACCTCGTGCCGCCAGAGCTGATGATTCCAGTGAGAGGGACAGAGGTTTTGCGTGTGTATCACCCATCATCACACGTTTACGGCTTGACTCCCAGCGAACTTCTGCGAAGATTTCATCAATGGCTGGGATTGGCTTTGTGGCAAGTAAGCGGCCACGCACATCATCTAATTCCAGACGAAGACCTGCAAGAAAATCATAAATTCGTTCCTTCTCGACGTGTTTGCGGAAGCGTTCAGCATCCTTCGAGCTCTTCCATTCGAGATTGCGACATAGATCAAGTTCAGCCCACAACCGACGTAATGAGCTGTAGTATTAGGTGACATCAGATTCACCTTATCGTAAGGAACGTGCCTTATTGCGTAATTCAAACAATTGAGCCGAGTTATCAAAATCAGAAAAAGCTGTAGTGAGCGCATTCCAAAGATCCTTTGCTTTTGAGTAGAAGATGAATGATTCTTTAATGTCCTCCTCCATCGAGTTAATAAGCCATGCCATGACCATTGAGTTTTGAGTATTCCACACGAAAAAAGAAGGGTCAGCTTCATCTGGTTTTGCTATCGTGCCATTGATGTACCCTAGTCGACTTCGRCCACGGATAATTTTGAAGAGGTAATTTGGAGATGTAGAGACTAAGGTTGGAGAGAATCCAATGTTCTGTATTCTCATTATTAAAGTCTATATATATAGACAAATATACGAGGTTGACCTAATCCTATAAGGAGAAGGTAAAGGACAAATTAATATTAATACAAGAGTATAAAATATACTAAAATATCTATACTCTAACACTCCCCCTCAAGTTGGTGCATATATGTTAATCATGCCCAACTTGTTAGACAAATAATCTATTCGTGCTYCATTCAATGCTTTAGTAAAGATATCTCCTAGCTGCTCTCCAGTCTTCACATACCCTGTAGCCACCAATCCTTGCTGTATTTTCTCACGTACATAATGACAATCAACTTCAATGTGTTTGGTTCGTTCATGAAATACTGGATTAGATGCAATATGAAGAGCTGCTTGATTATCACACCAAAGTTTCATTGGAGTGGTGATGCCAAATCCCAATTCAGTCAGAAGCTGATGTATCCATACTAATTCACACACCGACTGTGCCATARCTCTATATTCTGATTCAGCACTCGAACGCGAYACCACGTTTTGTTTCTTACTTTTCCAAGAAACTAAATTACCTCCGACAAATACACAATATCCTGAGGTTGATCTTCTATCTTCCTTAGAACTTACCCAATCAGCATCTGAAAAACATTCAATATTAAGATGACCATGATCTTTATATAACAAGCCACGTCCAGGAGCACCTTTCAAATAACATAGAATATGTTCCAATGCGATCCAATGGTCAGTTGTAGGAAAACTCATAAACTGACTCATAATACTGACTGGATAAGCTATGTCTGGCCTCSTAACCGTAAGATAATCCAGCTTCCCTACTAATCTCCTATACTTCTCAGGATCTTTCAACAACTCCCCCTTCCTTTGTAAGGTTCAAATTAGGTATCATTGGGGTACTAYGCGGCTTAGCAGCTAACTTTCCTGTTTCAGTTAACAACTCAAGTACATTCTTTCTTTGTGACAAAAAGATCCCCTTCTTGCTCCTTGTTACTTCAATTCCTAAGAAATATTTCAACATTCCCAAATTGACTATGAAGAAAAGACTTGAGTGATAGGATGCCTGATGAATCATTACCAGTAATCACAATATCATCAACATACACAACTTGTAAGATAACACCAGACTCAGATTTTTTATAAAAAACAGAATGATCTGACTTACTCTTCTTCATTCCAAAATTCTCAATCACCTGACTGAATTTTCCAAACCAATTGAACAGAGCATAGTGAACCAAACCAATTGAACTGAAACAAACGAATCGGACCAGAACCGGTATAAATCAACCAAACCGAACCGTAATGTGACGAACCAGACCGAACCGAACTTGAACTTGATGAACCAAACCACTTGAAACCAAACCGGTTGAACTGGGCCGCTTGAACCGGATCAGGTGTTTTCTAGAACCAGAAACCCTAAGTGCTACCCCACGACAACCAGAGGGGC